GTCTTATATAGGACTGTTGGCATGAGTGTGTGTGTTTATGTGTGTGTGTGTATTGGGAGGGAATGAGCCTTTGGCTCACCAACAGGCAAAACATTAGTCCTAAAGGCTAACAGGCAATCAGAATAAATAGTAGAGAAAAGTTGGCAGAAGCCGGTGGAATGTAGGCATCCAGGCTCATGATCATAAGTAGAAACATAACATAGGGCCTGGGGGCAAATGGAGACCCTGGGAAGTTATGAGAGTGCCCACAGTAACATAGCTGTTTGATAAGTGGGCCTGGGTACAAGCATTCTAATTCCTAGCCTGACACTGTTTTTCTACCCCTTTGAAAAAATTTTCATTGAGATTTGGGTGAAAGTTTACAAAGTAGATTCATTTTCTATTCAACAATTCATACATGTTTTGTTTTGTAACATTGATTGCAATCCCCACAATGGAACAGCTCTCTTCTCATTTTTTCCATGTGTTCTTCTTTCCTATGCATTCCTGCCCTCTTAGCTTTCTTCCAGCACCAATGCTGCCCTTTTGATCCCACACGGCTGATGGTTCTGAGTGCACCTTCTCTTTAATATGTCTTGTAAGGTTGTTCTGGTTTTTAAGAATTCCCCTAATTTTTGTTTATGTGGAAACATCCTAAATATCACCTCATATTTGCTGGATATATAATTCTAGATGGACAATTTTTTTCTTTCAGAGTTTTATAATATCATCTCTGATATTTCTGCTGAGAAATCAGAGCTTAGTCTTATTGGTTCTCCTTTGAAAGTCATGTTTTCTTTTTCCTGGGCTACTTTCAGGACTTTTTGTCTTTAGTTTTTGAAAGTATGATTGATAGATCTTGGTGATTTTCTTTTGGAATCTATACTATTTGGGGTTTGTTGAGCTTCTTGAATGCATATCTTCTCATCTTTCATGATATTCAGGAAGTTCTCTTCCAACAAATTTTTGACAATTTTCTCTGTGCTTTGTTTTGTTTTGTTTTTGTTTCTTCCCGTTCTGCAATTCTGAGCACTAAAAAGCTATTCCTCTTGATGGTGTCCCACATAATTCTTAGCCTTTCTTCCTTTCTTAAAATTCTTTTTTTTTTCTAATTGTTCTTCAATCAGATCATTATTAAGAGATTTGTCTTCAATTTCACTAATTCTCTCTTCCATGGATTCAATTCTATTTTGCCCTTTCAATACATTATCAATTTCTGAAATTTCAGAATTAATATTTCAGATTTCTATTTGCTACTTTTGCATGGTTTCTAATTTTCCATTTTTTTAAAAAAATTTGTTCTTCTATTGTCATCCTGAATTCTTCTAGAGTTTTGTCTGTTCTTTCCTTGAGTTTGTCTATGATTTCCTTGGTGTTATCCTAGCTTTCCTTGATCTCTTTCTTTATTTGCTGAAAGCTCCTAAATACAAATCTTTTGAAATGCTTTTTAGGTTGTTCTAATACCATTTCTTCCTTTAGAAGATTTTTTGGCTCTGTATTTTGGTTACTTGCATGAGCCATTTTGTCCTATTGTGTGTGTGTGTGTGTGTGTGTGTGATTTGAAATTGTCTGTTGTCTCCAAGACATTGTGTTGTTACTGTATCAATTTATTGACTATATGTTGGTTTCCTTCACCTGATTTTTTGTTTTGTTTTAATATATCCAGACAATAGGTTAGACACGCTATTCTAGTTGCTAGTTAGGCAGCAGTGGAAGCATGCACCACCTCTTTCCAGGTGGATTTTATAGTGGGTTGGAGTGTGGGCACAAGGCTCTGATCACTGGTCATGTAGAACAGCTGAGGCCAGGGTGAGCAGGTGTCAACTGCCATTTGTTATTGATCCAGTGGTGCTGGAGCAGGTGGTGGTACTAGCCCACTGTATGGGTTGGCAAGTGTGACAAGTACAGCTGGGTAGAGTTGCTGACTCCTGACTAATGAGGAGGAAAAGAAAAAGAAAATAAGGGAGGGAGGAGGAAGAAAAAAAGAAAAAAAATTTAAAGGGGAGAAAGAAGGAAGAAATAAGGAAAAAAGAAAAAGAAAACAGGGAGGGGGAAGAAAAAGAAAAAACTGAATAAATAGAGGGTGGGGGGAAGAGGAAAGAAATAAGAAGAAAGAAGAAAAAGTGGCACAGCATCAGCACATGCTCCAACTGCCAAACATGCAGATGCACCAAGTATGGCTGAGTAGTCACTGACTCCCATCAATGGGGGAAGAGATAGTAGGGGGGAAGTGGGGAGAGGAAGAAAAGAGAAAGAGAGAGGCAATGAGGGAAGAAATAAGAAGAAAGAAATAGAAAAAAGAAAGGAAGATAATGGCATAGCACCAGTGCATGGTCCAGCCACAGATGTCTAAGGTGCCGGCTTGCAGCATTCAATCTGCTGCAGTGTACCTCAGGGCACTGGGGGGAATGGAGTGATGGATAGGGAAAGACAGTGGGTGGGAGGACAGATGTGGGCTGAGTGGAACCCAGGTGAAAGAGGGGCAGTAGGGGGAGGCTTGACCAGACACTGGGTGGGTGGGGGTGGGAGAATTGCTCCTCTGGTCACTAGAAGACAGTACTAGATAAAGGGGGTGATTACACCTCTCTGGTCCCTGAACACCAATGTGGGTGCTGGTGCAGTCCTTGGCAAATGAACAAGTTATCTGGTTCCTGCCCCTATCGAAATGATGCTTGTAATAATTCAAAATGGCTACCCTGTGCTGGACCAGTTGGCAACTCACTGCTTCCTGTGTCTCCTCATCCACTGTTTTCATTCCAGTTCTTCTTCTAATCAGCATTATCCTTTCATTTGAAGCACAGGGGTCCAGGATTGTCATCCATATCTGTTTCACTTGGTTTCTCAGCTCTTTGTTGTAGAAGGTCTGGGTAGTGTATCTGCCCAGTCTGCCATCTTGGATCCTCCACTCTCTTTTTCCACTTCTTGTTGACACAAATATGGTTAGAATGTTCTATGGTCACTAAGGAGTGTGACAAAAACTAATGGTGATGTGATCTTCAAAAAATGAATTGTATTCAGTTAACATAGTCAAATGAATACTAACTCACAGTTCTGTTGCCCCTCTCAAGAAATATGTGTTCTCCCCAGCCAACTGGTCCTTGCCATCATTGAGTATGAGAAATTACATGCATTGAATCATGACACTGGTTACTCAGAGGACTTGACTTAGGAACTGATTTTCAAGTGAATTGGAAAAAGTTCTCTAACACCTCCCCATACTTAAGCTTCTACTTCTGTTTAACAATGACAATGACACAAGAGATTTTAACACATCCATCTTTCAAGTTTCTCTCTTCTTACATTAGATTCTTAAGATGTAACAGAAGAGCAATCGCAAAATTAGCCTACTTCCATAAATTAATTAAAAGTCATCTGGCTTTTTTTTTTTTTCCCCACGAAACTCCAAGAGATAGTTAGTTGCTTTATTTGGTTAAATAATGGGCCCAAGATGTACTGGTATGTTGTTGTTTTGAGTGGACAAAGTTGTTTGTCATTTTTGAAGTGCTTATACATATTCATAGGAGTTCTGGTGGTGAAGTGCCTAAGGCACTTGACTGCTAACCAGAAGGCTGGCAGTTCAAAACCATCAGCCTGTCTTCGGAAGGAAGATTGGGGAATCTACTTCCATAGTGATACTGCCTCAGAAACTCAAGGAGGAGTCTCTATGAGTTGGATCCAAGTCGATGGCAGTAAGCTTGGTTTTTTTTGGATGCAGATTCCTGGACTAATTTTTCACCTATGTATAGTACTCCTTTTAGTGTGATTTCTACAGTGACAACAAGTGGAAATGGGCTGTGTATCTTTAAGGCTGGAATATTGTGTACACATATGGAAACCCCAATCATTTGTCATTTCCAAAAGAAAGAAACTTTACTTTTAGAAGAAGAAAGTAAAAGTGTTTTGCCTTTTTCCAATCTTAGTTCCTTCTGTAAGTGACCCCAAAGGTATACAAAGAAATGGTTTCTAGGAACATTCTTTTGCTCTCTTACTCTTATTCTTTTGTCTACTATCTTTTAAGATCATCACCACCAGATTAATCCACCAAAATGCACTGCTGTGATAGCATCCACCCTCTGCTCAAAGACCTCCAGTGGATTCCCACTGCCTTAGAATTATAGTTCAGTTTTATTTCTTGGCATTCAAGATGTTTTAGAACTTGCCCTTCCATTGCTTCCTCAGCCATATCTCTCCCCCACCTACACCTTTAATTGACACCACTGCAGCATTGCTTCTGCCATCTCCTGTTTCTGCCTGTCAAAATCAAATGCGGTTTATTTTACCATGTCTTCTAAAATCTCCCAACAGTAAATGATTAAATGACTTAAGTGATTTCTATCTATTTCCAAATACCCAGTTGCCATAGAGTTGATTCTTGCATTTTCATATGGCAATAATTAATTGGCATGAAGTTGTCAGGCTGTCCCCTTTGTACAGAGCCCATACTCTCTAGTTTGCCATAGCCCTCACCCAACCCATTTCACTTGCTTGTACTATCTACTTACTCCCCCCCCGCCACCAATAGGATATTGAATCTGAAGCTATGAATATAAAGGAGACTTGGCCACTAGGGGGCCCCACTGCATACCACATACAGGATTTATCAGCTGTATAGGCTCACCTGATTGCCACTTGGGAGGTTCTGACATTCAATCTAGTTTTAGTGGAAAGTAACCGGGGATTATTCCAGCCTTATCTTTAGAAGGAAGAAATATTGAACAACAGACAATAATGATAGCTTGTGAAAACGGCAAAGCCAGGTCATAGGTGAAGAAAAGAAAAAAGTTAAAGACCTGGGTGGGCTTCTCCTTAGCTATGGAGTTCACATCCGGTCTGCTGTTTGTCTGTATCTCGTGGCTTATTCTTCTCTACTTTTCTGCCAGACTTTTGGGTCCCTCCTCACCCTCCTCTTCCCTGTCGTCTTTGTTGAGAGAAGCCACAGTTAGGTCAGTGCAGGAGGTAGGAGGAGATGGCAGAGACAAATAGTTATTCTGGGAAAAGGACTCCATTTGTTCCCAGCTTACCCAGTTCACTCTTGAAGGTGTGATCTTGGGGAAGGATGGAGGGGGCGTTCCGAATATTTCCTCCTCCAACAAACCAGTTCACATTGGGATTCCAGCAGTTCACAAAACCACAGAGATGGTTTTCTTCAAAGTCACATTCTAGCAGAAGAAAAATAAAACACACTTTATGGAGACACAGTCATACCTAGGGAATGTCCATACTCTCTGCAGCATTCACTCTTAGATATTAGGTATTTTTCTATGTTCCTTTGACCACTGAAAATGTATACCAGGACCACCACCCCCCTCTCGGGGAATATTGGCCCAAGAAGAAAGATAAAAGAGACACTGGTGCTACTGTAGTCTCTTCATGAAGCTGGCAGTTATAAGAAGGTTTAAGATCCTGGGGAATCAAGGTTCTAACTCATCATTGCCCCTTTGGACAGTAGCTCTTCCACTCACTAGCAGCATGACCCAAAACCTCTTTGTGCCTTGGTTTCTTCATACATAAAATGGGGACGACATCCTCACCTCACAGTGCTCTAACCAAGTATTCTTCAAGGCTATGCTTTTAGCTCCAAAAATTCTGCCCACCACCCTTTCTTTCACCTGGCTGACTAATCCTCCATCCCCTTCACTCTTGATGGTAGACAAGATGCCCACCACTGAAAGTCATGCTTCCCAGACGCTAAAGATACTTTGCTTTTCTCAGAAGCAAGAACCCAGTCAGAATAGTCTAAGTGGGCATATCCTTGGCTCTGGATCTCTTCTGCAACTACTGAGTAGAGAAGAAAGATGAAAAAAGAATATTCCCTACTCCTCTCTTTTTAGTGGCATTGACATGTTTACACAGATAATTTATTACCAGTCAACAGAGTTCTTACTGGGAACAAGAAACTCACAAGCCAGTGCCTTCACTGACTCTCATATTCATGCAATTAAAAACATGAAGTATGCTTGTGCTGGCCATCTCCCATTTGTCCTTCCAGATCCGCCTGACCCTCTCCAGACTGGTTGGTTGCACAGAAGCTGATCCGCATGAGCTATATAAATGTGCTCTCCTACCTTCTGGCTTCCTGTTGGGTTTGGCCAATGGAAGGTGGGAGGAGGGTGAGGTCAGGGTGTTTATTCCCTCAGCTTTTACCCTCCCAGGTCACCATGGTTGGCTGTGTGCCCTTCTTTGTCAAGTAGCCCTCAACATACAGGTATTGTCTCTAGGTTCCAGTAACCCCTCTTCCCTTGAACTCTAGAAGTGATAATGGCTCATGACTCATTGGTTACTATCCCTTGCTGGTTCTTTCCCCCACCCTCTCCCTCCACTGCATACCTTTGTAGTCCTTTTATTACACCTGCCTCAGATTACTCAGGTTGACTATACCCTTTGTTTCCACTTTCCTGTCAAGACCCTGATTGATATAGTTATCAATGTGTTTTTACTTTAGAAAGCACTGAAAATTTATAAGATTTACATTTTCATGTTTTTTCACTGCACTGCCTGCTAACCAATCCCTGACATTCAGTGCCCAAGACTGCCATCGGGAAAAAAATAAAGATATTTATTGAGAACTTTCTATATACCAGCACTGTTCTATGCACTTTGTATGAATTAACTTATTGAATCCTTAAAACAATCCTATGAGGCAAGTACTATTTTACAAACCAAGAAACTAGAGAAGCAAAGAAAATGCACAGGAAGAAAAGAGAAGTGAGAGCGTGACTCTACAGTGTAACAAAAGTATTGCACCCTTCTGTTTTTTAAACAGACCAGAAGCCATTGAGTAAACTGAAGAAAGTCAGTGAACATTTCGTGAGTGCCCAGCAGGTACCCAGCACTGTACCAATCCCCTTCAACAACAATTCTATGGGGTAAGCGTTTTATCCCATTTCACAGATGATGAAACGCAGGCCGAGTCAATGGGTGGAGTTCCTCCAGGGGTGTCTGGCTCTAGGCTATGCACTGTCCTGGCCACCATGCGGCTGCCATGTGGAATGTGGCTTAGGGGGAGACCCAAGGAAGGGAGCTTGAGTCTAACCTCACTATATGTGTAGAAAACAGTCACTTTCCCAATCTATTTTCTTTCACTTGTATTAAAGACATCACTGGAAAGTCAAAACAGAGAAGTGAGGCTTCAGGGAGTTGACAAAGGCTCTTTCTAGTTCAGAGTTGTCTTTTTTTTTTTTTTGAACATTTTATTGTAGCTTGGGTGAAAGTTTACAGAGTTCAGAATCATCTTTGACCCTCCTTTCTCTTCCCTTCCCCATCCACTCAGCCTCCATCAAAGTACTGTAAAACTCTCAAATCTACCCGTTTTCCTATTACCCTACCCACCTCCTATTTCAGACCCTCCTGTGGCCCTTCTGTAAGGTCACAGTAGCTTCCTATGAGTTATCCTGCCTCACGCGTGCTTTCCTCTTTTCTAACCCATCTCCCGTTCGCAGCCAGTCATCATCCTTACAGAAGCTGCAGGCCCCTCCCTTGCTGGCTGACTTTTAGTGCCTCCCAAACACATAACTCCTTAAGTTCAAGCTCTATATCCTGGATATAGGATCTTTCTAACAAACCCCCTTAGCAGTCCTGATTCTCACTTCAAATCCCTATGAAGCCTCTTGCCTTTGCCTGGACATGGCCTGTACTTTGTCCCCACAAGCTCTGCCCATAGAGAACTCTTTCCTGCCTACTCTGCTTCTTCACTCAACTAAATGCCACTCCTTGAAACTCCAGTTCAAATGCATCTCTTCTGTTAAATCCTTTCCAATTTTCTGTTCTCTTTCCCTCCTGCATCCATGGCCTACTCTTCTCCAGCAGGATTTAGCACATGTAGAAATCACTTCAGTGGTCGATGAGTAGATGGTGACAGGCACAGGACAGGGGCTATAGCTTCTCCTTATGCCATCACAGAACCTGGCACATAAGAGGCACCCAAGCAACACTGCTTAAGTGGCATCTGAATGGCAGCTGTGATTGTAGAGACAGGGACAATGGTGTGCTAAGAACGAAATGGAGTAAAGCAAGGAAAGGAAGTAATACGATGCCTTTTTCTGGCAAAGGCTCCAAAAAGCTGAATTTGCAGCAAAGTGGAAATTATTTTTTTATAAGAACTTGTTAAGGTTAAGGCTGCAACTCTGAGGTTACAGTTATTACATACACTTTTCTTTCATTAATCCAGCCAGTCTAGGCAAACACTAATGAGCCTCTCTATGTGAAAGATAGAGAAACAACATACAGCATTCAAGTGAACCTAACAAAGACTTTAATCTTCTATACATTATGTAGTATATTCTATAAAATACTGTTCCTAGGGCTGATTCAATTCCCTCTGGCAACAGGAGCTTTAGTAAAAGATCCACATTCTGATGCAATGAAAATGAATCCCACTTACCAATACAGTAGCCGGTTGTCATCTTGATTTCAAAGAGTGCAATGCTGGCTGTGTTTCCCTGCCCTAGAACACCTTCTATTAAAATCTGCACAACACATGGGAAAAGGGGAGATTAGACTTCAAAACACTATGTTCTCTTGGTTCAGTATTTCAGCTTCTAGTCAGTAGCCACTCAGCAATTCAAGGCAAAACAAGATTGTTAGTTCCAGCTAATCACTATTGGATACCAATCTCATTACAGACTTTGCTAAGTGAATGTGTGTGTGTGTGTGTGTGTGTGTTTATTGGGAGCTCTGGTGGTATGATGCCGTAGGCATTTGACTGCTAATCAGAGGCTGGCAGTTCAAATGCACCAGCTGCTCCTCAGAAGGAAGGTTGGGCAACCTACTTCCATAGTGATACCACCTCGGAAACCCAACAAGGGGTCGCTATGAGTCGGATCTGACTCGATGGCAGTGAGTTTGGTTTGGTTTATACATATAGATAGATATGCTGAGAACTTTGAGATGAGCAAGGTATTCATTAGAAACTCATGGAACTCGGTCTCCAATTGTTATCCCACCCACAACTTCTCTAGTGTTTGCGGCAGTGCTAACTGTCTGGAGATGGAGAAGAGAGTTTGTATTCCTGGGGAAATCCATTCTGGGAATGATCAGGAACTGAGAGCAGAGGTCTCAGGAGATAACGAGTCCTTTGCAGGGGAAGGTAGGAAGCACAGACTGATTTCTTGGTGGGAGATCTCACACAAGATGGTGGAGGTGCATAAATGAACTCTAATTTTCATATGGATGGGAAATATGAAAAAAACACTTTTTTAATGTTTTTTTTTTATAATTTACTTTATATTTTGTCCTTGTTATTGAGAATATACACAGCAGAACATACACCAATTCAACAGTTTCAACATGTACAATTCAGTGAGATTGATTACTTTCTTTAAGCTGTGCAACCATTCTCACTCTCCTCTCCCTCCTCTCATGAATTGTTCCTCCTCCATTAATATAAACTCTATGCCCCCTAAGTTTCTTATCTAATCTTTCTAGTTGCTGTTGTCAGAAAATTTGAAAAACTTCCACAAATAACAGGTTAGCTATGTGGGGAGCATGACAATTTGTGTGACTGATTTCAAATACTGTGATAGTTCACATTCAGTCCTATTTCTGAAAATTGTGGTTTTTCTTAGGTGATTTTGACCTGATACTTTGCAACTGTGCTGGAGAGCATTGTAAAATAGGGGAAACTAAGACTCCCCCAATGCACCTTCCCTTCATCATCCATGCTACCACCTGGCAGGGTGAGAGTCCAAGCATGAAGGAGGTATAGTACAGCATTTCAAAAATTTTTTGAAGAAGAATGGGATAGGGAATTGAAAGGAGGTTAGGTATGAGGAGAGTTTTCTTGAAGGATTCATTGTGTCCTCAATGAATATTCTCATATTCTCACTAAATATCATGCCTCAGGGCCAAGTAAGTGCAGATCCCATCCTCCTTTCCCACCCCAATCCATACCCAGCTTTGTCTTACACTCTCTACCTTCCTTTTCTAACACTTCTGAAGGAATAATTTCATAATGAAAGGAAACAAAACATACCCTTTAAGTATCTATGATTTTTCAAAATATTTTCATTTTCCTTTCATTACATTTAATATTTTATTCAAAAAGTATAGCAAACAAACCATTAGGAAGATAACACAAACACATACTACACACAAGGAAGGAAGGGTGAAACAACAAAATGATAAGAAATGAGAATTCTCCTTGACGCCCAATTTCCATTCCATTCCAAGAGTTGGTTTAATGTCACTTATATTCTTAAAGAAGTCCTTTAAATAGATGAGAAAGAAATTCAGGAAGAGGTTCTTTTAATGAATCAATAAACACAATACTAATTTACATTACTGATATTCTTCTATAATGTGTCTCCTATAAAGCATCACATCCTAACATAAGAAGTAACTAACCTCAAAAGGCTGTAGTTTTCATAAGATCTCAGAATAGCATAAAGCACACATACTAAACTCTGTCCCTTTCTCCTAAACTCCACCAACCTTGAATTTCTTGGGGCTGTTTTGCAAATCCAGGCTGGCTATTAGCCAGCTATCTGAAGCTTCCTTAGCTGACCAAAGCAAGCGGTCAAAGCTTTCATCTTCAAACCTCACATAGAGGTTCAACCTGCTGGGATGTGATAGAGACTCTGGAGATGTAGTTATCTGGTAGACCAAGCGAAGGCAGCTCCATTCTTCGGCCTGTAAATCCGAACTGAGCAGCACAGCTTTCTCCCCTTGCTTGGCAAATGAGGTGTCAACATAAATGTAATGGCCTGGGAAAATAAAGGAACAAAGAGAAGGACTCAATCTTATGTTTGCAACTCAGCAAAATACATAACTGTGGTCTAGAAAATCTGAAGACAGATAAAGCCTACAGATGCATTTTGTTTGGCCCACTGCATATCGTCTTAACATTACATCTCTGTCTTGGGAAAAATTAGGAGGTCTGGCAACACTGAGGTTGCTTTCCCACAACAGGCTGGAAGTGAGTAGTGCTGCCTCTAAAGAGGGTGCCATGTGGTCTCCATTTTGCTATAATCGCCATCATTCTCTATTAACCTTTGACATAAAGCCAAGTGTCTGTTCCCTTTTATTATTTTACACCCAGCGTACTTACCACATTGTGTTCCATCTCCCTGACTCCCATATGTACATGAGTTTGAGAACCCTGGATAAGAGGGGGCAGAACCTGGAGGAGCAGCATGAATAGGTGAATAGGTGAAATGCCCAAGACCAGTCAGGATATCTTAGAGGACTCAACATGGTGGCTGCAGTGATGGGCTCAGGTACAGTAGGGATCATGAGGCTGGCACAGAACTGAGCAGTGTTTCATTCTGTTGTACATAGGGTTGCTATGAGTTGGAGACAGAGACAACAACAACAACCTCCTTCCATAGCTCCCCCCATACAGAATGATACAATGTGTACGTAACTTACATCTTTATAGCCTGGCTCTTGGGGCCTTAGTAGAAAAAGTTCATTGTAAACCAGTTTTTCATTAGGAATAAAACTCCCCCACACTTAGACTCTTCCATGACCAGATCTTAGAGTTCTGACAACAAAATGAGAAAGTGCATGTAGAACACGTGCCACAGGGCTTGCAAAGCAGTGAGCTCTGGGAATAGCAGTCATTGTCTCCTCCTATCTCTTCCTCAGCCCCTCCTTCCTCCCGTTTCCCTGTGTTCTCTGCCTTCTCACTGTGCCCATCCTTCTGCTTTCCTCTCCCCAACCCCCTTTTCTCCTCCTTTCCCCTCTCCCTCTGTCTTTTAATATCAATAAGTGTTCTGCTGGTCGCATTTCTATGGAAAGAAAAAAAAAGAATTGGAGTCACAAACACTAACTTGAACTTTCCAAACTCAACTCAGGTCATCTGCTTTTGTATGGCAGTAGTATGATCTTCCCATGGGTCTCTGGGGACCTACTGCCTTTCAGGCCTCCATTAATCTGCTGTTTTCCATTGTATGACCTCCTACCTCATTCTTTGAGTTTCCCAGCACTAGACTCTTACTATAAAGGGTCCATAACACCTCTTTTCCTTGCTTAATGTTCTTCAGTCCCTTCCCCCACACTTATTGCCTCAGATGCTTTATCTTAGCCATGATCCTTGTCTATGTGGTGAGTATGATCACAGACCAACAGGCTCTCAGCTGATCACAGGGCATTGTCTTCAGGGAGCCTCCTTATCTGCTGAAGGGTTTCAAGATCAAGATCTATCTCCAGCTGGCAGTCTTCTTGACATAGCAACCACCCACTCTGTAAATAGCAGCAGCTTCTTGATGACAGCCCAGGCTTCCTCTTGTGGAGAAAACTGGCCCTTGCAGCAATTGCCACCACTGCCATTATTGTTGTTGGGTGCCATAGAGTCAATTTAGACTCATAGTTGAGTGTTTCACTAACATTTACTAGCTGTGGAGCCTCTTGGGTTTTGAAGTACTAAGCTGGGCTTTTGATATCAACCCTTTTTTGAATAAAAGTGCCATTTCACTGTGACATGAGAGAATGTATACGTTTATTCTACTTTCCCCACTCTCTGCTACTGTCCCAAAAGAAGGGACTCCAAGCAAGCTGGTAGTAAGAGTAGGGATGGAGAGCCCAGAGCACTGCAAACCTTTTCCGAGGAAGCAGAGAGTTAGGGGAGTCCTTAAGTAGTACAAATGGTTAATGAGCTCAGCTGTTAACCAAAAGGTTGGAGGTTCAAATCCACCCCGAAGCACTTAGGGAGACATGCCTGTCAATCTACTTACCAAAAATCAGTCATTGAAAACACTATGGAACAAATTTTATTCTGATGCACATAGGTCTAAATTCCAGAACTAGTACTATGGCAATTTGGCCAGGGCATGAACTGTGGGTGCTTCTTTTTCCTCTTAAGCATGCCTGGAATTCTACGAGCTAATAAATGCACTGTTACTTAGGTGTGATGATCACATTGGGGCGACTGCGGTGGAGTGAATACCACCCAGGACCTTGATTTAAATCTTTATCATGCATATACTGTGTCATTAGTTTCTTTATCTGCAAAATGGAGATAATAAAAGAGTAGAGACCCATCATATATATCTATTCAATATCTGGAAAATCGCTTTGCACTCAGGAAACAAACAAACTGAAAACAACATTAACACTTTCAACACATACACATGAAATACATTTTTCATACAAATTCCAAATAGCCACTAAATGAAAGCTACTTCATTTCCTGCTCAAACTGAGAAGTATATATTTCAACACAAAAAGGAAAATTGGTTAGAAATGGATGGCATGATATATACCAAACCATGAACAGTGTATTCTATGTGTAATTTAAAGAATCTTCAAGGGCCATTTTGACTGTATTTAATCTATGTCATGCTGACTTTAGAATACAAAGTCAAATAAGATGTGACTTCATATCTAAAGGGTAGTTTCAAAAACCTGGTGAAATGATGTATACAGAACGCTTTGTAAATTGTCTTGTGAACTGTTAATTATTTCTGTTCTTATCATCAGGGGCAGGAGTGGTTTGATTTTCCCAGAGGTAGTGAGACATTTTTACTGACAATATAAATTGCCAATCAAATTTCCTAATATGGTTTAGCACAGATATTTGTTCAGATCACAGCACATTTTAAATGCTAATACGAGAAGAGCCTTCTTCTTCATTCATCTTAATTGACCCTTTAATGTTAAAATCCGTAACTTGGTCCACTTTAACGCTTGGCCTCACCTGGCTTCCAATCCTCAGCAGTTCTCTTCCTCACAGCTGAGCCCTTTGGCTCTCACCCAGGGTTAATCATCAAAAGCAGGATTCAGCATATTTATGCCTGAAATGATTTGACTGAAACCTTGTGACCCAGGTCTGATAATGACACCTACATCTCTGTTTTGTTTTCCTCTTAATACTTTGTGTAGCTAAGACAAAAACATTGCCTTGTTTAGGGCAGCTTTTTTTTTTTTTTTTTTTTTTTCAGGCTAGGATCTTCCTGCCAGACTTCCTGAATGCCTTATTGTCTGCCTATCTTGGATCGAGTCCTGCTGTAGGAAACAGCAGGGCAGAGTGGTTAATAGTGCAGCTATCATGCCAGCCAGATGTTGGTTCAAATTCTGGCCATACCACTTACAAAGTACATTACTTTGGGCAAATTACTTACACTATCTGAGACTCAAGTTCTTCACTGGTTAAATGGGGATGCTAAAATATTGATTTTACCAGAGTTTTAAAGATTGTTGTTATGTGCTATAGAGTCGGACCTGACTCATAGTGACCCCTCCTTGGGTTTCTGAGGCAGTATCACTATGGAAGTAGATTGCCCAACCTTCCGAGGATTGGCTGATGGGTTTGAACTGCCAGCCTTCTGGTTAGCAGTCAAGTGCCTTAGGCACTACCCTACCAGAGGTGCAAATGGTTAAATGCTCAGCTACTGGCCAAAAAGTTGGTAGTTCAAACTCATCCAAAGGCACTTCTGAAGACAGGCCTAGTGATCTGCTTGTGAAAAGTCACAGCCTTAAAAATACTATGGAGCAGCTCTACTCTGCACACATAGGGTCACCATGGGTCAGAATCAATTCAACAGCAACTAACAGCAACAACAAAACAATAAAGTGACACAAATCAAGCAATGACCATGAAGATGGCATGGACCAGGTAATGTTTGTTCTGTTATACACAGAGTTGTCGTCAGTCGGAGCCAACTTGACAGCAACTAATAATAAGTCAGTTTGGCACCATGCCTCAGGGGACATGGTAAGATCTTAATGTCATCTCTTATTTTTCTAATCACCATAATTTTCCTGAAGCTTAGCTCAATTCATCAGCTTATACTGGACCTCTCTAATACTAAAAGATATTTGTTCCACCCGCTGCCCATTGCCCCACGCTTCTAATACCAACTTCTCTGACCACTGAATGGAATATTCTCCAACCATCTGTAGCTGGGTCCATTCCCCTAGTCCCTACTCTACTCCTTTAGGCACATCTTGTTCTAGGTCCCTGCATCTTCCAGTCTGCTCCCATCCCATTTGCCAACTGTGGTCTATGCTACGACAATCATCCCTAGGGTTTATCAAGTGATCAAAACAGACTAGACAAGAACACACACAGAGCATCTAACAAGAGTTCATAAAATTTCTGCAAAGAACCAGATTCTTATCGTGGAGAGAGAGGAGGTCTCCAAGGAACTGCAGCCTCCAGGCATTTGACTGCTAACCAGGAGGCTGGCGTTCAAACCCACCAGCCACTCCGCAGAAGGAAGGTTGGGCAATCTACTTCCGTAGAGATATCACCTCGGAAACCCAAGGAGGGGTCTCTATGAGTCAGGTTTGACTTCACAGCACATAACAACAACAACCACCTCAGAAACCCAAGAAGGGTTCACTATGAGTCCAATAGACTTGATGGCAGTGCATATCAGGTTACATTCTGAAAGAGTCAAAGACTTTTCCCCCTCCCCTCCCATTCCTGGTAACCAACAAAGAAAATTTCCTTCCCTGTATAAACCTGTCCTTGACCTTTTTATAATAATGGACTCATACAGTATTTGTCCTTCTGTGATTGACTTATTTCACTCAGCATAATGTCCTCCAACTTCATCCACATTATGAGGTGATTCACTGATTGTTCATTATTCTTTGATGTTGCTTAGTATTCCCTTGTGTGTATGTACCATAGTTTGCTTATCCATTCATCTGCTGACAGGCACTTAGGTTGTTTCCATCTGTTTGCTATTGTAAATAGCGCTGCAGTGAACATGGGTGTGCATATATCTATTCGTGTCCTGGATCTCAATTCTTTAGG